AGATTACAGTCTGGAAATAGCCACTGTTTACTTACTGACCAGATTACAAAAAATCATGGTGGATACCTTAGTCCATCCTTCTAATAAGTTTGTTGATCTGGTCTTCCATGTTGCCAGCATCTCCACCTTCTACAAAATGGGTGATCTTTTTCTTCCTTCCATCTTGTGAAGAAGATAATTTGAAGGACCACAGGAAGTTATTTACTTCTTTGAAGCATTTTCCAACAGTATAGATTTCATGAATAAGATCCTCCATGCAGATGATGCCAAATTTACCAAGAGATTGAACAATCAAAGAGTTATCTGTCAAAGTAATTTGCTTCTTATTGATTTTGTCATAACTGCGTTTGTAGATCAGTTCATTTACTGACTTCAGGTTCGGGTACTCCCATACAATATATGATTCTACGATTCTCAGTATGTTAATTGAGGCCTTGTTGAGCTTAACAAAGGTGCCATTGAAGATCTGGCAAAGACAAAGAAGCTGCAACACCTTTCGAACCTTTAGGCTCAGTCCACTGATACCTCTGATCCTGATGACAAACACCAATTTGAGTTCTGCAGGTACATAGAAGGTGCCAGTTTTTCTTGCCATCCTGGCCATGCAAATCTCAGTACCGTACATCTGTCTATATTCCTTATGATAGTGCTTAGCTTTTTCATAGATAAGCTTCCTCCTTGCCTTTTGAAGCATCTTTTGAGCAAACATTTTTCACAGGCACTTGATCTTGAACTCTGCAAAATTCCTTCACTTTTTTTTTTTTTTTTAGGGATTTCTGGCACAGCAGGAGCCTTTTTCTTGGTTTCTGTCACAGCAAGAACCTTCTTTTTCTTCTCTTGAACGTCCTCCATGGTTCCTGCTGGAAAAGAGCCAGCTTTGTAATATATTTTGAGATCAGGAAGTGAGATGGCTCCTACTTTATTTTGGACACTTTCATGATTCCAGACAAATTTTAGGATTTTTTCTATTTCTGTGAGGAATATCCCTGGTAACTTCCACTTTCGTGTGTCATTTTCCATTCCTTCTTTCAATTTTTCACAGTTTTGCTCGTAGAGGCCTTTGACTTCTTTGGTTAGGTTTATTCCTAGGTTTCTTACTTATGAGGGTGGAGGGAAGAGCTTTTCTCTCCCCTAGTTTGTTTTGGGTAAGAGTCCTTTATCAGATAGTCTGTTGTAAATATTTTCTTCCACTGTGTGACTTGTCTTCTAGTTCTCTTGGCAGAGTATTTCACAGAGCAGAAGTTTTTAACGTTAATGAAGTGTGGCTTGTCAATTACTTCTTTTGGGACTACCTATCTCTCTCTGTCTCTTTAACCTACTATCTCGCTGCCTCTTTCTATTTCTCTCCTTTTCATAGAAAAAGTAAAAACTAAAATATGTATTTAAGTCATTAATAAAGATGGTAAAATTTGTTATTTTTTCCTTTTTTTTTTAATTGCAAAATAACATGTTACTTGCCAAAGAAAGAGAAACATGTGTGTGTGGGGGGAAGCCCCCATCCCAGTGGTTTGTGATCATGCCACTGGCCTTCTCCTCCATTTCTTCATCCTGTTGGGATTTGGGGGCTTCACACACATGTGGCTGTCATGTTTCTCATGGCACTGGGGCCAGGATATGAACCTTGGTCAGTCACGCGGGATCCAACTCCTTAGTCACTAGGCTACAGACCTGCCCTTGTTATGTGTCTTTTAACACAATTTTTAAAATTGGGAAAAAAAGTAATTGCTTTACCCAAGGTCACCTAGACTTTCTCCTATGTTATCTTTGAGGTATTTTATAGTTCTACATTTTATATTTAAGTTTATAATTGTGGACAGAAGTCTAACTACTTTTCCTATTTTTCCAAAATCTTTTCAAAAGGGGGCTGGGGAAGTCATGCCCACAAACATTAACAGACCATTTATTTTCCATTAACAGGATTCTTCCTACCTCCTGTTCCTGGCATAGTATCTTT